AAAAAAAAAAAAGATCTGAAGGAATTGGGAGGGATTCATTTAGATACCTAAGGGAAGAGCATTTGCAGCAGAAGGATCAGCAGTGCAAAGGTCCTGAGGCAGGGCCTGGCATAGTATGTTCAAAGACACTAGTGTACTGGGTGAGAACGAACGAGGGGGCCTTGTAGATGATGAGGTCCCAGAGACAGGGTGGAGGGGCAGGTGACACAAGGTCTCGTAAGTCATATGGAGACTTTGGCTTTTACTTGAGTGAGAAGCCGTTGGAAGGCTTGAGGAGAGGAATGACGGATTTTAAGTCCAATTTCACAAACACTGATATTAAGTGTTGGCAAGGATTGGTGCAGTGGGAACCTTTGTATAATGCTGGTGGCTACGTAACTGGGACATAAATTGGAGCAGATTGAGCATTTTCACTCCTAGATGTGTGATTTAGAGAAACTCACATCTGTACAAGATGACATACAGAAGAATATTTTTCCTGCAGCATTGCTTGTAATAGAAAATATTTAGAAAGAACCAAAATACCTATCAGCAAGAGAATGGATAAATAGTGGCATATTCATATGTGGAATCCTGTAGTTTTTAAGAAATGAGTAAATGGATAAATCTCAGAACAATGCTAAATGAAAAAAAAATGTAGAAGGATGTGAATAGTAAGACACAAAAGTTGAGAAAGACTCTGAGACCAGGCACAGTGCTCATGCCTGTAATCTCCGAGCTTTGAGAGGACAAGGCAGAAGGAACACTTGAGGCCAGGAGTTTGAGACTAGCCTGGGCAACATAGCCAGACCCCATGTCTACAAAAAATGAAAACATTAGCCCAGTGTGGTAGCACATGCTTGTAGTCTCAGCTACTTGAGAGGCTAAGGCATGAGGCTCACTTGCGCCTAGGAGTTTGGGGCTGCAGTGAGCTACTGATCACAGCACTGTACTCCAGCCTGGACAACAGAGTGAGACCTTGTCTTCAAGGGAAAAAAAAATTTAAGTGGCAAGATAAGTATACTAGTGTTGTTTAAATTCTTCATTTTGCCTTTCTATATGTGAGAAATATTTCATAATGTAAAGATGTATAGTGTGAAATTTTACGTATAAACACAAACTCAATTCAGGCTCCCTCCCACCCTCCTCCCTATAATGAGAGTAGGGACTTAGCAGGAAAGGGGAGAAGGCAGTATGAAGTAGCACAGCAGACCCTGGGTCAGGGGTGTCCAGTGTCTCTGGAGTCCAAGCTT